CCCCAAAACCCCAAAACCCCAAAACCCCAAAACCCCAAAACCCCTTTTCAGTTACTCGAAAATGAATTATTTTAAATTATTCTAAAGAGGGTTTCTTCCTTTTCTTCCCATTTCTTAAGGATATCCTTGTGTTCTTTTCTAATATATTTCGGGGTTGAACTGCTCTACTCCTCTCCTGATGTAATCTCCTTGCTTGCTGTAGCCTTCTCTTTTGGAACTATTAGCACCCTTGTAGCTTCTCTTACAGATTGCATCCACACCTAAGGGCATGTTGGTATCTTAATCTGATGAAGAATTTCTGATAGGGTCTTCTTTCCTCTATGATTGCTGGAATCAATGACTTTATCTTCTTTAGAAACGGAAGCTTTCCTCTTAATGATGTCTAATATTATTTCAACTATGCTATGTTGAGTCAATAAGAAGGAAGACCTACCATCTAGATTTTGAGATATCTTACTGTTGTCTTGCTCAATGTAGACAAATGTAATGATGCATTGATGATGTCATCTTCAAGGTACTTACTCAGTTCATCTTAAAAGGATTAACATATTCATTGAGCAAGAAGAGAACTTCCTTGAGTTATTGGGGCCACCAATGATCATAGCTATCCAATGACTGTTTGAAAGAAGTGCGAAGGTTACTGAGGCTCTTCCTCTTAACCTTGAATTTATGATTAAATGGGAGATACTTTTTGGGAGCCAAGAGTAGTTGGATTTGACTAACTTATTGAATTAAGACTCATCTACATTTGTATTTCGTTGCCAATAAATCTCCTCGATAGAACAATCTCCAAGTAGTATATGATTTTAGTGTTGGTCAGACATCACTTCGTCTATATTTAAGTCTTCATCTTGGGAAATAATTGTTGATTTTCCTGCCTTCAGATTCGTAGGATCTTCAGAGTATTGCCAGAATGTATTGAGCTGGAAGAAAACTAACAAGACCTTCTTCTTCTAGACTTCTCCTTTTGAAACTTGAGCTGAACTCGAATAGCAGATATTCCTCCATAAACTCGGATTCAGAATTTTTGGTTTTCTTATTAACATTCGTCTTCTGTGTTTCCTCTCAGTCGATCCTAACCGCCAATCTCTGCATAATAAGATAGGCCATCCGTTTGCTCTGTCTTAAGAAACTAGAAGAATTGGTGTCTTAATTTTAAAAATTAAATTTCTGATCTTTTAAACACCTGATGCACTTTGAAAAACCGTGGGAGGACAATACGAGGAGGCATATTCGATCTGAGTTTTCTCAAAGATGAGCCATTCAATATATGTGCTTTGAAGTCTTAGAAAATTTAGATCACCATCTTTTGATTGAAAATATTATTATTGCCATTGCTTCTGAATTATCCTTCAGATTAATTTTCGGGGTTTTGGGGTTTTGGGGTTTTGGGGTTTTGGGGTTTTGGGG